TCCTGGGAAAGTAGTACTGAACTCAGTTCCATAGCCATTGTATGCAAATCTTCCAATGACACTCATTGAATATCTTCTAGTGCTCTTGTCTATCAAGTCTATGTCAGGGACATACGTCTCTCTCTCTAGCCTCGTTTATACCTGGCGGTAACAGGCGTCCTGTGTCCTAATCTTGTCCACATTTCAGATTGTCTATTATCGGTCTGCTGTGTCTGTATTGTGACCAGATTTTCCTGGTCCTTCCCTGTATGCAAATTATATGACAGATATTCTTTCGAACAAATGTGTATTTATTTATTTTAATTCACATGTTAATGACATAAGTCAATGGTGCCACCTGTCAATGATTTTAGAGGGCGGGATCATAACTGTTTTCCCTGTCCAGATCCATCTACACAATGTGTGCATGACTGCCTCCAAAGGTGGGCAGGAAGATCTGATCACAATCAGATCACAATGTGTCTTGATTGTTTACACCTGTCTAACAATGTGGACAAGATCAGAATGTGGACAAGATCAGGTCTAAGGACACATTTTAGAACCAGGTATATTATTTGTCAGCAAGACAAAGGAGATGATCGTGGACTACAGGAAACGGAGGGCGGAGCACGCCCCCATCCATATCGACAGGGCTTTAGTGGAGCAGGTCGAGAGCTTCAAATTCCTCGTTGTATACATCAGTATGGAATTATCATGGTCCACACACACCAACAGAGTTGTGAAAAGGGAATGACAACACCTGGTCCCCCTCAGGAGGCTGAAAAGATTTAGCATTGGCCCTCAGATCCTCAAAAAGTTATACAGATGCACCATTGAGAGCATCTTGACTGGCTGCATCACCGCTTGGTATGGCAACTTGGCATCCGACTGCAAGGTGCTACAGAGGGTAGTGCGTACGGCCCAGTACAACACTGTTTAAAGAAGACCCGTAAGTACAAGGCTGTTAGTCTACACCTGTTGTTCACAAAGCATGTGACAAATACAATTTGATTTGATATAAACAGGGCTTCTCTCTCTCTCTCTTTCTCCTTCCCTCTCTGAACAGTAACTTTGCTTGCAGACTTTAAACGTTAGGGAAAACTTTGGCCGATGATCCACATTTGCCCTTGGGCTGGCTTTCCCCAAACATTTTCTCAACATCCCTCTGTACGCTTTACGTAGCTGGAGAGAATACCTTCTGGATGGTGGATATTTGGTGAGTCAAATAAAATAACATTGTATTTGTCACATGCTTCGTAAACAACAGGTGACGTACTGTACATGAAATGAGACACTTCCCAGCACTGGGACACAACAGACAGAAAGACAGACAGAGGGGGCAACCTATGTCAATGGATAGTGTGCTTTTACTAAGCAACCATCACTTGCTTATACTGTTAATACCAATAGTGGAAGGATGTTATGCTATTGATTTACACTCATAGAACAGTAAAAGACTGTCAGGCTCTACATGTCAATCTCAGAAATCTAGAAATCTAAGGCCAAACAGACTAGCTACTGTAGACAACCTCTGGGTGCTCAGATCTAACATTACGAGGATACATTGAAGGTGAGGTCACTGTTCCACACCCTGGCAGAAGGCCTCAATCTGTCTCCATTTGTAATCATCCTGCAACAACCTATAATTTCCTTTCCTGCAGGAGCAAGGGTTGTTAGTCACATAGAAATATAATGAATAGATTCTATGACTATTTCTATGGGTTGTTATTCAAGAAGAATGTTCTGCTCTACGCTACAAAGTCATCATCATCATCCTCATCATCAAACAGACACAGTGACAAGAGGTTTTCAGACATGCTATAAACTTTAATAGACATATAGATATTTCTGAAAAGAAACAAAGATAGCCCTAGGTTTTATTTACAATACATGATTAAATGTATTAAAATCAAAATCATCACATACAGCGGTAAAAACAATTGTAGAGAACTTAAATAACTTTGTTTGCGTAACTACTTAAATAATGAAAACGGTTACTCTATTTTATTCACACCACGCCGTCTCAGCAGCTAAAATGCAAGTTTCACATTAAGTGCTAAAATTATAGTATCGACATTACAGCATGAGTTCCATTTGACGCATTATAGACCAGATAGAACACTGGTGAGACAGAGATTCAACAACTGCTGTCATTGAAGATACAGAGGAGAAAACAAAACAGAGAGAGAGAGAGAGAGAAAGAGAGAGAGGTGAGAGAGAGAGAGAGAGAGATAGAGAGAGAGGAGAGATAGAGAGGAGAGCGGCGATAGAGAACGGAAAAGAGAGAGAGAGAGCCCAGAGGAGACAACAGAAGAGCTCTAGAGAGAGATCGAAAGCGAGAGATAAAGAGAAGAGGGGAAGAGTAGAGAGATAGAAGAGAAAAAAGAGTATAGATCGAGTTAGAGAAAGGAGAGAGCTATAAGTCTAGAGAAGAATAATAGAGAGATAGAAATATATAGAGATCGAGATAGAGAGAGATAAACTATATATATGAGAAGAGAGCGGATAGAGAGGAGAGAGACTGGAAAACTCAAAACACTTCTAACCATGCTTAGAATGGGAACTCAAAACAAAATATGATCATAGAAATAAAGATATTCCTATTTTGTGGGGGGCAGGCACTTAAAAAAGTCAAAATTGGCACAAGATGTAAAGGGTTGCTTTGCTCTTTGCTGAACTACTGTCATGAGACTCAATATTAATATGGTATCAAGGAATTTGCAATGGCAGTATATCAAATGAACCAATCCTGATCAACATGTAGATTAGTGACGAGTGTGTTTTATACAGTCTTCTGAAGAAAGACGATGGGCTCCAAAATAATTATAGTCTTTTTTTTTTTATTGTCGTTTGGCTCGCTGAAGACGTTTTAGATCCCTGGCTTTGAGATGAGCAAAGTCTTCTTTCTACTATTCATTTGTTAAGGGATCACAGTTCACCGCAAAGTGGATCAAAGAAGTCTGGGTTCATACTTGACACATTTTATCATTCCATCTGTCTTATCTGAACGTCTCACAGTAGGTAGAGTAGAGTGTCTGGTGTGAAACCATCTTTCATCTGATCAACCTGGAGGAACTCTTCTCATCTGACTGTGAACAGCCTCCAATAAGTTGGCGGCCTAGCGAAACAAAGACCAACCTCCGACCGTTATGCTGCAGTTGAATGCCACAGGCAGAGGTTTACCACGGGAAGGAAACACAGAGAGACCCTTGTGTTATGTCTCAGTGATCGGTTCCAAACTCTTCTATTCAGGTATAGACATGCATTATCTTTAACACAATGTGCCGATCTGTACTGCACGTGTCGTTGTGTGTCTTTATACAGTGGAAAAACACTGCATACATTTTGTGTTAGCAAAAAAAAGAAATGAAAATAAAATACATGATTTTTCAAGCTTAATGCAAAACCACTTTCTACAAACACCGTCCTCTCCCATATATTATTACAGTAAAAAAAATAAACCCTCCTCTATCAAAACAATAGTAATGCTATATTATTTTGCAAGGCTAAGTAGTACTTAGTTCAGCTCTATATGTATGAAATATACATCACCGTGCGCTTCTTTCCCTTTATAATTCACACTGAAGTTGAGTAGCGAGTCTCTGTGTTCAGTATGAGCGATTAAGAGTGAGTGAGATTTGACTTGCTGCGTGCCACTGTGTTAGTGTGTGTGTGTGTCACAATGTCATTGCTGTTTAACACCGTACTAGTCCCAAAATAATCGTCTGCCCTTGATTGTGAAACACAAAAAAACATGACATTACAGTGCATGGAGTTGATGACTCCATTTCAGATGTATGAAACTGGCGTTGACATTGGGAGTACAAAGCTATGAGCTCAGTCCTAACAATGTCATAGACTCTGTCCCTAATGGCACCCTTATTCCGTATGTAGCGCACTATTTTTGACCAGGGCCCCATAGGGCTCTGATCAAAAGTAGTGCACTATATAGGGAATAGGGTGTCATTTGGGACACAGCCATATAAACTCTATAGATCTATAGATACCTGTTGAGTCCAAAGACACTCATTCTTCAGCTATGGATCCATTCTGTACATTGGTAGCATGTCAAGTGAGCGATGAACAACAAATCTATACCGCTGTATCATGAAGTATCATATACGTAGCTTTTTCTATGAAGATGTGCCCACAAACCAGAAACAGTAGGACAAAATAACAATAACTCCATAAACCTCATAATTATTACTGTGACATTACGGCATTATTGGTCGTTCGTATTAGCGCCTTTACACAAGATAGTCCAGGACTTTGTATGGGGATCTATACATGGCACAGTAAGATTATCAGAAACTCTTCCGTCAGTGTCAGTATTATTGCATTACTGATGCTGAAGAGATTAGCATGTTCATTTAAAGGCTGTATATAGGCTGTGTTTTGTTGGTGAAAGCAGACCCAAAGCTAACCCTCAGTATTGGGCTGTCCACTCTCCAGTCCTGGGGGCTAACTTAGTCACCACACCTCCGCACGCATCGCAGTGCTTCAGTTCAGCCGACTCGCCCTTTGCTCTCTGTAAGGTTTCAGTCAAAATGGCAGCCGTTTTTTTTTTGTGTGTCGAGAGAACGTGAGGGGGTCTCCCTCTGTTCTCAGCAGGGGTGCAGTGCTAATATCAAGTCATCTGCATCGGGGTTCCAGAGAGGAGAGGAATTTTCTCCTGGAGAAGAAGAGTATAAAAGAGCTTATGTAGCCACAGTGGAGGTCCAACGATTAGACCATAGACGACGATAGCCATGCATTCAACCATCACACTGCTGTGTCTGTCTGTGTGATGGTCTCTGGAGGGATGCTTGGCCTGTAGCCTACTGTACGGTCAACAGTGTGGAGCTTATGGGCAGGAAGATGACCAGAGTCCGGGTGGTGACGGGGACAGGGTATTTCCAGACGGGGGTGTATGTCTCAGGGATGAATCACGGAGGAGGGAGGCTCTGCTTGGGCTTCTCCTTGGAGTCTGCTGGAGGTTCAGTTAGGGGGTCATGGTGGGAGCGGACCCCCTTCCCGTGCCCCTATACGATGTAGCTGGTGAGGTTCAGCAGGTACGAGGTCATGTCTATGATGTGGTCCAGGATGCCGTCCTTCTCCTGGTCGCTAGGCATGCCCCGCTCGCCCTTCTCACACTGGGCACCCGAGTAGCCGCTCTTACACAGGCACTTGTTGGGCTCAACACACACGCCTCCATTACGACAGGCTGGCTCGCATTTAGCTGTGTCACACAGAGAGAGAGAGAGAGAGAGAGAGAGAGAGAGAGAGAGAGAGAGAGAGAGAGAGAGAGAGAGAGAGAGAGAGAGAGAGAGAGAGAGAGAGAGAGAGAGAGAGGATATCATATAACAGGTATATGACAATGACAAGCGACGACAACAAAACATTCATAAACACTTTATGTGATAAGTGTCCATTATGGATCCAAAGTAGCCTATTTGATTAATATCAACATTACTCAAGATATACAGTAGAATTCTTCACATTATTGTGTAACTCTTGTTATACAGTAGGTCTCTGCTACTCTGCAGAGGGTTATTATGTAAAGTTCTAGGTTATGGTTGAACATTTCAAACAGCACTTTTCTCTGACTCACCCACTCTGCAGAAGGGTCCCTCCCAGCCGGTGCTGCAGCAACACTTCCCGGTGGGGGTGCAGTATCCGTTCTTACACTGCCGTGAGCAGGCCGTTCCCAGCAGCTCCGGGGCCTCCACCTGTCTCTGACACTCCTTAGGGACCGCGGGCCTGCAGTGGCCACACAGGGAGGGCAACGGTCACACACTCTAAAGGCTCTCACACACCCACACACACACACTGCTCTGAGGCATTACATACAGATATGTGGCCTTTCTTTCACACACCATATTCACACACACACACACACACACACACACACACTAAATATGAGGCAGTAGTGGTGCCATAGCAGCAGAACACTTAACCATGTAAAACAGGGCAGAGGAAACGGCTCCACCAGAATGGGCCTTTACATAACATTGATGTGATGGAAAGGAGTCATGGGGAGAATGAATGTTTGAGTACGGAGAGACTCTGTGTGTGACACGGTTCTTTCTGGAATATTCAGTTTCTAGAATGTTGTTAATTAATTTTTGATGTATAATTCATTCATTTGGAGCATACAGTGATGCATCAGAGGTTGGGAGGCTGGGAGGTTGGAATGGTGGACTGACTGAATGGCTGGACCAGAGTTTTCTTTCCACTGAGGACATGGCTGTGTGTGTGTCTAGAACACAGGGAGCAGCTTCAATTCAGCATGACAGGAGACTCATAAACACCACACACACCACACACAGATGTACCACACACCTGCAAACATATCCAACCACACTGCCAACAGGCGGCACACTAAACAGACATATTGTGATCATCTCATGACAAGACAAACATTGAACACACGCACTGGCCCAAATTAGGCTTAAAGTTTGATCATTTCATATCACGCTCCAGCCCGGGCTCAGAAATCTGGAAATAATATTGCAGCGTTCTACGTGATGGAATTCAAATGTGAATTGTCTGTTAGCTTGTGTGTGTGTGTGTGTGTGTGGCTAGGGCTGAACAGCATCGACTATTGAGGCAAGACAAGCCTCAGCCAGGCAGTGTACTGATATATCCATCAGGCACACACACACACACACACAAACACACACACCCACACACACACCCACACGCACAAGCACACGCACACACCCACACACACACACACACACACACACACACACCACACACACACACACACACACACACACACACACACACACACACACACACACACTCTCTCTCTCTGGGTGCTGGACTCTCTGGCTGCTGTAGAGATATAATGCTATAGAGAGATCTAATGCTGTAGAGAGATAATGCTGAAGAGAGATCTAATGCTGTAGAGATATAATGCTGAAGAGAGATCTAATGCTGTAGAGAGATCTAATGCTGTAGAGAGATCTAATGCTGTAGAGAGATATAATGCTGTAGAGAGATCTAATGCTGTAGAGAGATAATGCTGAAGAGAGATCTAATGCTGTAGAGAGATAATGCTGAAGAGAGATCTAATGCTGTAGAGATCTAATGCTGTAGAGAGATCTAATGCTGTAGAGAGATCTAATGCTGTAGAGATCTAATGCTGTAGAAATCTAATGCTGTAGAGAGATCTAATGCTGTAGAGATCTAATGCTGTAGAGAGATCTAATGCTGTAGAGAGATCTAATGCTGTAGAGATCTAATGCTGTAGAAATCTAATGCTGTAGAGAGATCTAATGCTGTAGAGAGATCTAATGCTGTAGAGAGATCTAATGCTGTAGAGAGATAATGTTGTAGAGATCTAATGCTGTAGAGAGATCTAATGCTGTAGAGAGATCTAATGCTGTAGAGAGATAATGCTGAAGAGAGATCTAATGCTGTAGAGATCTAATGTTGTAGAGATCTAATGCTGTAGAGAGATAATGCTGAAGAGAGATCTAATGCTGTAGAGAGATAATGCTGGTGAGACATCTAATGCTGTAGAGATAATGCCGGAGAGAGATCGAATGCTGTAGAGAGATAATGCTATAGAGAGATAATGCTATAGAGATCTAATGACCAATGGACAGACAGGAGCCACAACTGAGTGTGATATTGGGGTCTGGTTGTGAATTAACTGACTTACTGACTGTGGTTGGTTAGTGCTCTGTTGGTTAGTGCTCTGTTGGTTAGTGCTCAAATGAGGGGCTCCTGGCCTGTGTTGTGTGTGTGTGAGTGAGTTAGGGGGTCCTGGTCAGGGTCCTGCGGGTGTGTGAGTGGGGCGTTGAACCCCGTGGCTGGGAGAGTGTTGTTCTGACAGCCACATTGACTGATGGCAGTCCCGGGGCAGAACCAGAGCCTAAAGGGGGTCTCTAGGGGGGTGGAGGGGACGGGGGCGATTCCCATGCTCCGCTCCCCTCAGCACCCACCCAACCCTGTGTCTTTTCTCATCCACACTCTGGGCCTTTGTTGTGACAGGCTGCAAGTTGTTAAAACGGAGAGAAGGAGGGACAGAAAGAGAGAGGGTGGGAGAGTGATGGAGTCGGGAGAAAGAGACCAGGGTGAGAGAGAGAGGAAAGGGGGACAGCTAGTCCCTGGAGGATTGGGGTACAACACTGTTAATAGTGTCAGGCAGGCAGGGGTCAGCCACGGCTAGCGCTCCTCATCAGTTTGTATCAGTGCCATGGGTGGCCATGGGCCCGGGTGAAAACAACACCTGCCGGAGCGCCACTTGACAAAGGCAGCTGGGTCAACAGGCACTGTGGGAATGTATCAACTCGGCGAGGACACTTGCATAAAACACAGACTGATAAATTAAAGGAGGGCCGGCTTATTAGTTTGAGTGTCCACGGGGCTGGGCCAGGCTGGTCCCAATGATTTATATATACACGATATGACTGCTAGGGGGCGCTGTTTTGAAGCCACCGTGCCTCCATCTTGGCACTACCTCATCGTAGTAAAAAATATTTTGGAAGCTTTGAAATGCATTTATTAATGTCTACACTCGTTTTTGCCACATGTATCATATTACAGACACCTTAATGCATAATTTTAAATGAAATTATGTGAGCTAAACATAAAAAAATCTATACAAAAACATTTTCCTTAAAGTATATATTATTTGTATTACTAATGTTACTGTCCCCACTACAACAACAAAAATATTTAAATAAATGTAATTTTGTCCTTGAAACTTTTAATTGAAATACTGTAGAATTCCATTCATTCCTATGGCGGACTGCTCCTACTGGGGGGAGTGCCAATATGGCCGACCGGTAGCTTCAAAAACCTCTCAATGGCCAATACACAGCATCAGCCATCCAGGGTTTGTACACATTATTGGCTGGTCCCCAACACTCTTAGAAAAAAGGGTTCCAAAGGGGTTCTTCGGCTGTCCCTATAGGAGAACCCTTTTTGGTTCCAGGTAGAACATTTTTAGGTTCTATGTAGAACTCTCTGTGGAAATGGTTCTAGATGGAACCCAAAAGGGTTCTACCTGGAACCATAAAGGGTTCTTCAAAGGGTTATCCTATGTGGACAGCCGAAGAACCCTGTTAGGTTCTAGATAGCACCTTTTTTTCAAAGAGTTTAGTTCTAGTGGCTGAATGGAGGTGGGAGGCGGGGTGGTGGTGGGGAGGAGGGGAGGGGTGTATGGAGCTCTGCTTGGCTCAGCTGCCTCCTTTCCCACCTCCCCCTTTGTTCTAGAACAGGAGACCTCAGCCAGGGACAATATGCTGGGCCTGATCCCAGATCAGCTCCCTCTTATTCATAACACAGCCCTCTTTATAATACCTCACCACCTCAAACGTCACCCCAGATCAGATCATACAGCTGATTGATAAAGGGGATGCTATTAGTGAGGGATGCTCTAGCGACTATCAGATTTATTTCACTTAAAGCTTTGATAGTGATGGGTGGCTGGTAGGCTGGGAGTTGGTGCGGAGGGTTTTGGGAAGGAAGGAATGTGTTGAGGCTATGTGCTGGGGGCTTGCTTGATTGGCATGAGGTGTATGTGAGAAAAAAGCCCTGGAGTGGTGTACATTGTGCCTCCCGACAATAGCTTAATCAAACGGCCCAGTGTGAGTCCTTTGGCTGTTTTGTCATCCGGCTCCATTGTTTGGGGTCTTCTTTGTGGTTTCATCCCTTGTTTTAATTGTGTCAGAAATGTACTGTGTATTGTAGGAGCCAGGGCCATTCAGTGGAACTGTGGAGCAGCTTTGTCAAGGGAAGGACCACAGTAGCGCAGCAGCAAGATTTAGGAGGGACATCTGAATAAAAGAGCTGGATTTTTTTGGCCAGTATGCCGGGAGCTGGGCGCTATCGTACCATACACACACACCTCCCTGCTCCTTCTCCCCAGTGCTTCCTGTCATTTGTGACTTCCATAGTGACTTCATAAAGGAGGTCCCAGAGCCCTATTCTATGTCCACTGGGGCTTCTCAACCTCTTTACTCAACACAATTCAATCAGAGGACTCTGCACCTGACTAAACTAAAGCATACATTGAGTGAAAAGTGTATTATGATACAGGAGAACCTTTTTCTCCCTCTTTGGATAAAAGCCTGTTTAAATGGAAAGACAAACTATTTTTATTACCGTTATCAGCAGGAGTTCTAACTGTTTCAATGGTCTCGCTACGAAAAGGATTTCTCCCCCATTCAGGTTCCAGATGGAATCGTAAGGACAGGATAGAATTTGGTTTAGAATAAAATGTGGTTCTGTCCCTTCCATTCTTATACACAATAAACAACCTGGCAGTTACATTCTGTACAGCTTTACTATGTGGCCAGTGACATCCACCACATAATCAACCCACCCAATATCTGGAGGCTGTGTTTGTTTGTGTCTCTCCTCTCTCAAGTAATGAAGCCTCCTCCTCCTCTGCTTCTACATGGATGTTAGCACCAGAAATAAATACAAGTATCTCTCTCTCTCTCCCTCTCTCTCTCTCATGGGGACCTCTGACTGCGTGTGGCAGGGCAATTGAGATAAGACATATTCAATGAAGCATTGCATGTCTCAATCAGACATTACACTGATCTAATTATAGAAAGAGGGGAAGAGGAAAAAGAAGAAGAAACATTCGAAACAGAGCTGAAACCTGTTGAAGCCTTGGGGAAGACAAGGCAGCGCGCTGACTTCATTTGTAGGTATTTGTTTGTCAGTCGGGTACCGTCCAATAATAAATAGGCCACCATGCGTCTCAGTAACATCTGTATATTGTTGTGTCTGTGTCCCATGTGGACACAGAGGCAGAGTAGGATCATGTGGCATTGTTTACTGGCTCTACGGTGGAAGGAGACAGAGCTGTTTAAAAATACCATGCAGCCTTGCCCGGGATTCAAACCTACTCCATATGCATCACACGCACAAACACACATGATATGTTTTTGTGTGTATTAATGTTTGTGCGTGTGCGTGTGATGCATATGGAGTAGGTTTGAATCCCGGGCAAGGCTGCATGGTATTTTTAAACAGCTCTGTCTCCTTCCACCGTAGAGCCAGTGAACAATGCCACATGATCCTACTCTGCCTCTGTGTCCACATGGGACACAGACACAACAATATACAGATGTTACTGAGACGCATGGTGGCCTATTTATTATTGGACGGTACCCGACTGACAAACAAATACCTACAAATGAAGTCAGCGTGCTGCCGGGACGTGTGTTTACCCCAAAACATCACAGAGGGGTTTAGGTGATTTTCTTCCCCAGCCTCCTACCTCCTAACGCCCCCCTCTTCTTCCCCAAACACATGTAATGAAAACACCATGCGGGTGGATGGTGGATGTTGTGGGACCCCTGGACCACCACAGGCTCGCCTCTCAAAAATACAAGTCTGCTGTAAAGGAGGAGGGTGAGGGGGCGCCAGGTACCCCAGGAGGGGTAGAGGAGGACGGGTGGCCCACCAGACGTGATAACACAGCAAGGTCAGAAACGTTGGCTGCCTCCTTCCCTCCCCCTCTCCATCCTCCCTGTAACGAGATACTAATAACGAAGTGAGTGTGTGTGTGTGTTTGTGTGTGCGTGTGTGTGTGTGTAGAAGCCGGACTCCCAACACCACAGGGGCCACATACAGACTAAACAAGCTCAAAATATGGGTGGAAAGAATTGTTGTTTGGGAAAAATGTGTCCATGCCAGAAAACATAAATAAAACGTTGAGCGGGGCAGCAAGGGGCCCATAGAAACATCTGTGGCGTAATGAATTGTGACTTGGGTGGTACTGTCATCACCTTAGCAATAATTAGCCAGGGATCTGTTTCTATTGTCCCACACACACACACTCCAAGAAAGTGAAATGGACTTAAGGAAACATTATTCTGGCGCCTTCCTGGACTGTAAGCCCAGTGAAATGTTTTGAGATGCGCCACATGCCTCCCTACCAACTTCACGTAAGCTGAATAACCTAAACCTACATGAGGATCTCTAGTTCTCCATTACAGCGTGCTGAAAAGGGGGATTGGATGATTTGTGGGTGGTTGAGGGTGAAAAGACACTGCTTGATGAGCAATTGGTTTGAATTAGAAAGTGAGAGGATCTGGTTGTGTTCAATGTAATGTCTCATTATTCAGAGATATATCAGTGACATTCAAGGCATACACATGTCTCAGTTATTGCCTGCGGTGGAGGGGGGAATTCATACACCCCATGTACATACTTCCTGATGTGCTGGGAGAAATGTTTTTCACATGTACTTGGCTTGACGCAAACATCATTTGTTAAAGATTCATCATTATCGAAAAATATTTTTTATAGAGTAAAACACATGGTAAAATGTTTAGCACGCATACAACAATGATTAGCAGCCACCCTTTGTGCCAGTCACATCTCCTCTAGTAATATTTATCACCAAAAACTCCAGCACATTATCAGCTGTGTGCGACCTGGATTGGTGGGCACATTGTTGGGACACAGCATCCCTTTATTAAAACCCAAACCACAGATCTTCCACTCACATGTAACAAATCCCTCCCTACAACTATGAGGAAAACATTACCACTCCGTTCTCTCCAGGAGTGTATAAGCTGCCCTGTCAAACGCTACCAAAATACCCAGCGAGCCACATGTGACTTGCTCTCTCTCTCTTTCTCTCTCTCATCTCTCTCTTCTCTCGCTCTCTCTCTCCTCTCTCTTCTCTCTCTCATCTCTCTCTCTCATCTCTCTCTCTCTCCTCTCTCACTCTTTCCTATCTTCCCCCCCCCCCTCTCTCTCTCTCTCTCTCTCTCTCTCTCTCTCTAACAGGGCCCACTGGTAGCGTTGGTGTTAGAAACAGTATGCTTACTCTCCAATTACCGCGCTGAGATTTGCGTTGGCCGGGGAACCAGCCGTTGTGTGATGATTTGTTTAAGGGGATAAGAGCCCTGTGTGTGTGTGTGTGTGTGTGTGTGTGTGTGTGTGTGTGTGTGATGTATTGGAGAGGTGTAGAAAACAAGGGATGGAGGGAGGTATGACGTTCCCTCTACCTGTGAAGTTGTGATCCTGCACTGCCACTATATCTGCTATGTGTAGGTATATGGGCAGGCAATAGACACAGACACACACGCACCCACCCACACAAAGATATAAAGTTTTGTTCTTTACCTTTTAGGGTCCACTAGCTTGTAGAGCTTCCCACTGTGTGACTGAGCCATGCTTTTACTGGTGGCCAGGATGTAGACTTCACCTGGGGGTGAGGAGAACAGGGGTTACATGGGAAATGTTGTCCAGGCATCAGCCCTATCTAGAGTGAGAGAATATGAGAAGAGAAGATAAAGAGAGAGAGAGAGAGACAGAGAGAGAAGGAAAGAGAGAGAGAGAGAGGGAAAAGAGAGAGAGAGAGAGACAGAGATCTATCTCTCTCTCGTTCTCTCTCCTCTCTCCTCGCTTCTCTCTCTCCTCTCGTCTCTCTCCTCTCTCTCTCTCTCTCTCCTCTCTCTCTCCTCTCTCTCTCTCTCTCCTCTCTCTCTCTCTTTCTCCTCTCTCGCTTCTCTCTCTCTCTCTCGTCTCTCTCCCTCCTCTCTCCTCTCTTTCTCTCCTCTCTCTCCTCTCTCTTCCTCTCTCTCTCTCTCTCTCTCTCTCTCTCTCTCTCTCTCCTCTAGCTCTCTCGCTCTCTCCTCCTCTCTCTCTTCGCTCTCCTCTCTCTCTCTCTGCTCTCTCGTCCTCTCTCTCTCTCTCTCTCCTCTCCTTTCTCCTCCCCCCTCCTCTCTCCTCTCCTCTCTTTCGCTCCCTCTCCTCTCCTCTCTCTCTGCCTCTCTCTCTCTCTCTCTCTTCTCTCTCCTCTCTCTCTCTCTCCTCCTCCTCTCTCTCTCTCTCCTCCTCTCTTTCTCCTCTCTTCTCTCCTCTCGCTCCTCTCTCTCTCTCTCTCCTCTCTCTCCTCCCCCTCTTTCTCCCTCTTTTTTCTCTCCTCTCTCTCTTCTCTCCTCTCTCTTCTCTCGCTCTCCTCTGTCTCGCTTGCTCCCTCCTCGCTCTCTCCTCTCGCTCTCGCCCGCGCCTTTCCTCTGCTCCCTCTCTCTCTCGCTCGCTCTCTCGCTCCGCTCTCTTCCTGCGCCTCCGCTCTCTCCTCCTCTCCTCGCGCTCTCGTCGCTCGGCGCGCTCTCTTCTCGCTCTCGCCCGCTCTGCTCTCTCTCTGCTGCTGGCGCCTCCTCCGCCTCTGCCGATCTCCGCGCTCCCCGCGCCGCGCTCGCTCGCGTTCGTCGCTCTCCCCTCTCTCCGCTCGCTCGCTCTTCGCTCTCGCGGCTCTCTCGCTTCTCTCCTCTCCTCGTCTCGCCTCTCTCTGCGCGCTCTCTCTCCTCGGCGTCCTCTCGTCTCGCTGCTCTCCGTCTCGGGGGCCGCTGCTCGCCTCGCTCGTCTTCTCTCTCTGCTCTCTCTCGCTCCGTCTCCCCGCTCTCGCGCTCTCTCTCTCTCTCTCTCGCTCTCTCTCTCTCTCTCTCTCTGTCTCCTCTCGCTTCTCCTCTCTCTTCTCTCTCTCTCTCTCTCGTCTCGCTCTCCTCTTTCTCTCTCTGCTCCTCTGCCTCCTTCGTCTCCTTTTCTCTCCCCTCTTCTTTCTCGCTCTTTCCTCTCTCTGCCTCTCTCTCTCCCCCTTCTCTCTCCCCGTTTCTCCTCTCTCTCTTTCTCCTCCTCACCTCCTCTCTCCTCTCTCTCTCTCTCCTCTCTCCGCTCTTCTCCTCTCTCTCTTTCTCTCCTCTCTCCTCCCTCTCTCTCTTCTCTCTCCCTTCTCCTCTTCTCTCTCTCTTCTCTGTCGCCCTCTACTCCTTCTCTCTCTCTCTCCCGCCTCTCGTCGCTCCGTCTCTCTCGCTCTCGCCTCTCCTCTCTCTTCGCGCCCTCGCTTCTCCCCCTCCCCTATCCTTCGCTGCTCTGCTCAGGATCCCTGCAGCGCTGCACTTGCCATGGGACTTGGGAGAGAGTGAGTATCACGGGACAATTGAATACTCCTGACTGGAACCAGGCGAGCCATTTAATGAGGAGCAAGCCCACAACACAGCTCCATAAGAGGACAAATTGTAAATGTGTCAATGGGGCCCTGTTGTGGGACACCAGCCCAGCTCAGCTCAGCCCTCCACCATTCGCCTACCCCCCACCCCCCCATTGGCAAATCATGAACAAAAGCAAAAATATTTTTCTAATGCCACGCCAAGATATTGGCAAGTCCCATGGTTAACCCTGTGTGCCCGTTTTATATGTTGATATGGATAATTAGTTCTCTGCAAAACATGAGCTCACAATGAGTCCTTTTGTCAAACGGGGATACAATGAATCGGGTTCAGTGGGTTTGTTGATGTAGCGAACCTAACCCCACCTCACCTAAGATGGTATGACTGGCAGGCTGGTAAACAATAACACAGACCATAAACATTCATCACCAGGTGGCCAACTACATGCCATATCAGCAGGCTCTTTGAGGCCTGGTGCTATCTTATGGAAATGACCATATAATCCTTCAGGAAGCAGGGAGACTTTAATATCCTGCTGCTGGAACGTGCCATGGAGGAAAGGCGACACGGCGGGAAGGGATGGAGGTATTAGTTCCCCTCACACAACGTGTGTGACCTCTGTTGGCTTTCTGGTCCAATATCTTGAATATCACTCGAGTAACGGTGCGGACGTTTTTCCCCTGACTTCCTAATCTCGGAAACTCAATTGGAGCAGTCTTGTTTCTAAACCCAACCGAGTGGAAACATGTTGAACATTGACATCGCACTCCAGGGATGTACTATGTAAATACATGTACCATTGTTCCATATACAATGCCCCAATGATTCTGAGTTTTCCACAGTTTTGACATCTGTCATTGGGTGTAAACATGGATTTCAGGATGGCTTGCCATTCTGCAATCTATCTTCTGCATTCAGACCCTTTGTTGACAAAAGCTTTCACTCATAACATCAGCTCAGAAGTAGAGAGAGAGAGACAGAGATAGAGAGAGAGAGAGGCCAAGAAATTGACATATAATAATATTGGTATACATGTAGTGGCCAGTCTTTAGACTAGAGAGAGTTGCGCTACGTCCCAAATGGCACCCTATTCCCTATTTAGTGCACTACTTTCGATCAGGGCCCATGGGGCTCTGGTCAACAGTAATGCACTATATCGGGAATAGGGTGCCATTTGGGACACAGCCTTGGTGCTGGTTCTACTGACCTAGTTGGTCCTCTCCGAAGCCCAGGATATGTCCCACCAGAGCGGAGCCACAGGAGCTGCTGGTCCCCAGACACAGAGCCTTCTCCTGCCACTGGCCCCTTGTCGCCACTGAGCCCTTCTGGAGGATCCGCAGGTTTCTGAAACACACATACGCACACACACACAAACACAGCGCAACGTCAGCACACTGTTACAGTAATGCTAGCATTAAGCACAGGTCAGGGGTCAGCAAAAACGGCACATTGTTTCCTTCCAGGTCACAGCACAACAGTCTTGTGTTTCAGTTCCTTAGTGTGCATGAAGTCTTTTGGTTTCCAAATAAACACGATGCCAAAAATCCTCCTCGCCCTTTCACAACAACGTGCCCTTCAAAAACTGAAATGAGACGAAGTGGCTGCGAGTCATTTTTCCAAACACATTGCCATGACGTCTCAATAGCGTACTTCCTTCAGCGTCTTTATTTCCTTTGTTTATTCAAGAGGCGAGGTTTGACTTCAGCAAGAGAGCAAGATGAATTATCAACCAATGAGACGTGTGAACAACACGAGGCCGTAGCCAAACGGACCAACCAACCTGGGCAGGAAATCACATCTCCATTTACAGTGAATGAGCCTGAGCCGTAGTAGTGTCAGCAATGTGATAGTAATGTTTTCCCCCCATCGTGGATGGAACACTGGGTTTATGTTGGCACGGTGACCATGGGCAGAATCAGGGGACGGTATGCATAGTGTTTACCTCAGAGTTACGTTCACCATAGCAAAGTTGGGTTACTAAACACAGCTGTTTGTGTTTGTTCAATCCAAAGTCAATGAACACTAGAACCGTTCGAGAATGTTCTGAATGAGAAAATGATGACATTTGATTCAAATTAGCTACACATTTAATCCAGACCATTTGACGATAAATAAAACCCCTGTTATTTATAATATTTATAACTTATAAACTTACCCGTTCTTGTCTCCGAACACATAGCTCCCGTAAAGCCTTCTGGACTGACAGCCTCTGTAGATGAACCCTCCCACAGGTGCTGCTCCTCCACTGGTCGCCAGGTCAAAGATGGACGCCTCATTCTCTACAGAAACACACAGATACAGGCCTCAGATCAGTACCATTAAGATGGACGCCTCATTCTCTACAGAAACACACAGATACCGGCCTCAGATCAGTACCATGAAGATGGACGCCTCATTCTCGACAGAAACACACAGATACAGGCCTCAGATCAGTACCATTAAGATGGACGCCTCATTCTCTACACAAATACACAGAAATACAGGCCTCATATCAGTGTAATTACAGAGCTTGTGTCCCAAATTGCACCCTATTGTCTTTATAGTGCACTCGTTTTAACCAAGGCCCATAGGGCTCTGGTCAAAAGTAGTGCACTATATATTTAGTGCCCTATATACAGTATATAGTTCCATATGACACATAGACAGAGTTAGATCTCTACAAGGTCCCAAAACGAATGCAGAATGATGGTGGTATTGTAAGTCAATTTGTGTCCCCCCCCCCAAAATGACTTTTTGGAACGTATAGTATTTGTCAAAAGTTATTATTTTCAGCCTAAGATAGCTGTCATTTGACAGCTTGACCAAGATATGACTAGCTACATCTTAGATATAGCAGGGAGTTTCACTTTGTTTATTCCCTACAAAAAAGGTTCCAAAAGGGTTCTGTGGCTGTCCCCATAGGAGAACCCTTTCCACAGAGGGTTCTATATGGAACCCAAAAGAGGGAACCAAAAGGGGTTCTACAAAGGGTGCTCCTATGAGGACAGCCAAATAAACCTTTTTTTTCTAAGAGTGTACAATGACTCCCTGAGACCTGCCATGGTCAGACCCTAGCCTAATGACTGTGACTCCCTGAGATCTGGAGCTGCCATGGTCAGAGACTAGCCTAATGACTGTGACTCCCTGAGATCTGGAGCTGCCATGGTCAGACCCTAGCCTAATGACTGTGACTCCCTGAGACCTGGAGCTGCCATGGTCAGAGACTAGCCTAATGACTGTGACTCCCTGAGATCTGGAGCTGCCATGGTCAGACACTAGCCTAATGACTGTGACTCCCTGAGACCTGGAGCTGCCATGGTCAGAGACTAGCCTAATGACTGTGACTCCCTGAGATCTGGAGCTGCCATGGTCAGACCTAGCCTAATGACTGTGACTCCCTGAGACCTGGAGCTGCCATGGTCAGAGACTAGCCTAATGACTGTGACTCCCTGAGATCTGGAGCTGCCATGGTCAGAGACTAGCCTAATGACTGTGACTCCCTGAGACCTGGAGCTGCCATGGTCAGACCTAGCCTAATGACTGTGACTCCCTGAGACCTGGAGCTGCCATGGTCAGAGACTAGCCTAATGACTGTGACTCCCTGAGACCTGGAGCTGCCATGGTCAGAGACCTAGCCTAATGACTGTGACTCCCTGAGACCTGGAGCTGCCATGGTCAGAGACTAGCCTAATGACTGTGACTCCCTGAGACCTGGAGCTGCCATGGTCAGAGACTAGCCTAATGACTGTGACTCCCTGAGACCTGGAGCTGCCATGGTCAGAGACTAGCCTAATGACTGTGACTCCCTGAGACCTGGATGTGCCATGGTCAGAGACTAGCCTAATGACTGTGACTCCCTGAGACCTGGAGCTGCCATGGTCAGAGACTAGCCTAATGACTGTGACTCCCTGAGACCTGGAGCTGCCATGGTCAGACCCTAGCCTAATGACTGTGACTCCCTGAGACCTGGAGCTGCCATGGTCAGAGACTAGCCTAATGACTGTGACTCCCTGAGACCTGGGTGTGATTTATGCCTACTCTAATGAGTCCTGTTTTCTCTGTTGGTGTAGGAAGAGAAAAGGATATCCATGTTTACTGCCATCTGTCATGAGGTCATTAGCATGTAGTGGAGGGTGGTTTCAATTACTGTGACTGAGGCCTTGCCTTGTTAAAAACAACTTTGCTAAACTGGATTAAAATGTAATGTCGATGTAGGGCTTTAACCGCCACGATATCTCTTAATTAACGTTTAAACTGAATGTATTAAGTGATCGTTGTACTAAAGAACGCAGGAGGTTGATGATGGTGTTGTAGGGTATTTTTTGGACAATGTGAATGTAAATCGTTATGTAGTCATTATGGGAATAATGGACATTATGATGTGAGGAGTTCTCGCCCCTATTAGGGTGTAATCAGAGAGGTAATGAACTCCACCTCCACCATGGCAATAATATAATTGGGGCCGGGGTCTGGGGTAATTTGGCCCAATCAGTGGTCGTCCTGGGTGAGAGGTGGCCAATGGAATGGGTGGGGGCTTTGAACTTGGCTGAGGGGCTGGCGGGGAGGGGCTGGCGGGGAGGAGTTGGGGTTGGGGGGGAGGGGTTGGGTTGGGGGGGGTTGTTTTTCGGGTGGCTGAAATAGCACTCATTGTGTGGTTATTAGAATCAAACAAACAGTTCGACATTAATCAAACCAAACAAAAGCACTAATTTTTTCATTGTGTTAGAAAGAGAGAAAAAAGAGCCTTGTCAGGATGTTCTGGTGTCGATTATGCTCTTTTGATGTGCACCAATGAGAATATCAACCCCCGGTCCTCATGGCTCTGTTTAGTGTGTTTTCAACAATACTAACCCATCATCAAGATATTCATCGTAGCTGACAACTATAAATCATATTCATGGACACAAACTCACATTCCCCTGGCAACGATGTGCAAGGACGAATCGTTTGTGGATCACAATAACTTTTGATACTTTTTTTTTTTTTCTCTCTCAGATACACTGTGTACTGAGCAAGTTGGAGGACGACCAAATACCGCATTCTCACAATAGGAAAGAATCCACATTTGTATTCCAAAAAAACAGAAGTCGTTTTTCTTGAACAGAACACACAGTAAAATGAAAGGTTATCCAAAAAGGTAATTTGTGAGGAATTCCATCAGATTCTTCCACTCATTCTCAAGGTGAGAGAGGCCATGAAATGGAAATGTAAGGCAGACACAGAGCTATTTTCATAACAAGCAACATTAATGTATCATTAATGTATTCCAGACAGGCTCCTAAAGGTCACTCTCAGGCTCCTAAAGGTCCCAAATGTCAGCCTGTCTGCTATATAGTGCACTACTTTTAACTAGGGCCCATGCACAGGGTGCCATTTGGGACACATAATCAGCTCTGTTAGGGAAAATCATTGGAAGAAGGAACTCACCGTAGTCTTTCCCCTTAGTGATCTCCAGTATTCTCCCTGCCGATGCGTTCCTCCCGCTGGCATCCGTGCACACAATCAGGAAACTCCCGTTGTTATCCGTATAATGCCGGTCCACGGCACACCTGGGGAAAGACAGGAATGAATGGATAAGTGGGAAAAACATTGGAACGTCATGACCCTGTCCATCTGCGATGATGCATCACTCCCTGAGTATCAACTATGACCTTGGGGTGGTTGTGTCACATGATAAAAGAGTGGCATGCAACGGGGGTACTGTAAGTCAATAACTGCATATCTCACACACACAGCTACAACTCAGTAAGATTGATGAACACGTTCTAATGAAGCTCATAGCCTAGTAGAGTCAATCCATGATTAACCTTTTACCATGTGAAGACACAGAACAAGGCCTCCACTGACCGAGACAGTAACACACAGAGTGATCTGATCATTTCCATGGTTGAGAAGATACACATTAAAAAGGAATAGGTGCAACGGTCACTCACAATTAACTGTCACTCACAATTAACTGTCACTCACAATTAACTGTCACTCACAATTAACTATCACTCACAATTAACTGTCACTCACAATTAACTGTCACTCACAATTAAAAACAACATACTATATACTAATATTAATACATGAGAAGATACACACACACCATAGTGAAGTATTGGGGGGATTCTCTGGGTGGGAACAGGTATCAGGTATGACCATGGAGCATTTCACTCACCTGCCTGGGTCATGCAGTCCGTGGGCAAAGATTTCTGGTGGCTGGTTGGTGCTGTTGAAGTAGGGGTTGTTCCTGGGTATGGAGTAGGGAGCCGTGCAGCAGTCTGTGTCAACGTCCACCCTCAACACAGACCCTGTGAAATCACTGCAGACAGCACACACAAGAAATGACAACTGGTTAGGTCTGAGGAAAGTGGTGGAGGTGGAAAAGTTGTAGCTACTGTCTTGGTTTATTGCTGTATCTTGCCAAATGTTATAAGACTTACTGTCCTTTACGTTTTTGGGAAATGGCCTACAGTGGCCTCAGAAATACAAGCAGAATGATGCCCATAGAAAGATACCCATAGAAAAATGCCCATAGAAAGATACCCATAGAAAGATAGCCATAGTAAGATACCCATAGAAAGATACCCATAGAAAGATACCCATAGAAAGACGCCCATAGAAAGACGCCCATAGAAAGATACCCATTGAAAGATACCTATAGAAAGATAGCCATAGAAAGATACCCATGGAAAGATCCCCACAGACTGATCCCCAAATAGCCTCCATATTGCCCTTGACCTTTGACCCCCTGACCCCTGGGTCTCACCTGAGGCCGTCCATCTCCTCCATGTCATCCAGGGTGATCATGCCGTCTCCCAAGACGATGTGCAGCAGGCCGTCAGGGCCAAACAGCAGCTGTCCTCCCAGGTGCTTCCTGTGCAGCTCCGCCACCTCTATCAGCATCCGCGTGGTCCTACTGTCCACCACATTCGGGTTTTTCCTGATCACAGAATTACATAGAAAAGTGTTAGATCAAATGTATCGTTTTATATCTCTATGGGAGGAACATAGAGTGTATTGTCGGAGGCTGGCGCGACGCTTCAATACATTCCATACCAAGGGTGGACAGTCATAGGGGTATTACTGTATGCAGGCTTTTGCTCCAACCCAGCCCTAACACACCCCTGCATTAACCAAAATGAGCCCTAAACATATGTTGACACTATTGGGGCCTACTACCAATATAGAGACAAAAGGTAAAGAACGTTTGAGACGTATATTTAAAGGATGTCCTGATTAAACAGAGAGGTGCTCATGTAATGCCTGGATGGAAAAATAGCAATTATGTCCGTGAGTAAGATGATACCACTGCAGGAGAAAATGCTGACATGTAAAAACAAGCTCCCTGACAACACGCCAACGAGAAGAGTGTTTAACGAGTTTGTTGTCAGGAGACATTGGGTCTTAGATTTGACGCATCATTAAAGCTCAGAGTTAAGACGTTATTACAATGTTGGGGTGAATCTCAACTCGAAGCTTTAACTCAAACCCATAAAGTGATGACTTTCCAAGTCCAGAGAAAAGATTTGGCTTCATATTAACAGCCATAAAATGTTTAATGATGTGTTATTTTGGGCAGGGTATTTAGACAGAGAGTTTCCTATCATTTTTCTTCAGCGTCGTTACTCTGCCAGGAAGAGATTGACTATTTCGCACTGAGTGACATACAAATACCAACACCATGACTCCTCCTCAAAACGCCACCAGCGTCAAGATTATAATTGCCATTTGAAAAATGGTCTTAAAGTCTTAAAACCGAGCCGTACAACAGTGATTATGATAATAAAAACGTAATACTTTAACTAGTATAGTTACGAGAAGTTTGTTTTGTTAATCACGGCTTGTTGTGCAATGGAGCTCTGGTATATCACCAGCATAGCCACAAACATCTACAGTTGTCATTAGCGGCGTTGTAAAATTAAAGTGCGCCATTACAGTTTTCTATAAAAGCAAAAGTCGTCGCCGTCAGTAAACGCGTTTCACGGTGCGGGACTTGACTTGGCAGCGAGCCGCCGCGGGCTGCATTCAAAACTCACTAGATAACAAACATTTCCTGTTCATCAACTGTACTTTATACTAGTGATGGGGAAAATATTGTTACAGTTACATTGGGATATTATTTTTGACGATATATCGTATTGTTTTGACAATATAGCAATAATATTTTTGCGCTAGTTGGCTGTACCTGCTCCAAAACTCCAGTATTTTTCCTTCATAGCTTGTTCTCCATCTTCTTTTTAAATAGGGAGCCAATTTGTTTTCAGCACTTTTATTTCCCTAAACTCGTTTTCTCATGGCTCTTTCTTGTCCCTCTGCAGCAGACATATGGTGAGCAATATGTTTGAAACATCGAATAACATTGAAATAAAATTACAGTGTCGAATCGCAATGCATATAGAACCGTGAGAATCGTGAGAATCGCAATACATATCGTATCGGCACCTAAGTATCGTGATAATATCGTATCGTGAGGTCCCTGGCAATTCCCAGCCCTACTTTATACCTGCAAACTTTTATCTCAGGAATATCGACACTGAAATGCATCTTCTTTAGGCTTCACTTGTTTCTGCATCATCATTGGTTGAACCATGTGTGGTCAATTAATGTATATAGGGGGTGGTTTGGTTTGGTTTCTCCCCTTTTACCTGGAGACGGTGCCCACAGGACATAGACGTCAATTCAACGTTTATTAAACGTGGTTCAACGTAATTTCACAGATTTTAACTGGAGACGGTGTACTCGACCACACGCAGGACGTTTCTGTATTATCAGTGGTTGAACCGTAAATGGTCAATGTTTGGCATGGATTTCTCCACTGGTTACCTGGAGACGGTGTACTCGACCACGCGCAGGATGTGGTCGTGCGGTCCGATGGCCCAGCGCTCCTGGTTGGTGGTGTAGGAGACGTACAGCTTGCCGTTCTTCTTGTAATTGGGGTGGAATGTGAGGCCTAGCAGACCCCTTTCATCTCCTGCCTGCAGTCAGAGGACAAACAAAAAGGACCCACAAGTTAATTCTGTCCCTACATTTTCTTTCTTTCTTTCTTTCTTTCTTTCTTTCTTTCTTTCTTTCTTTCTTTCTTTCTTTCTTTCTTTCTTTCTTTCTTTCTTTCTTTCTTTCTTTCTTTCTTTGTGCTGTAGTAACTAGTCGAAGCCACCACACAGCCAATCACCCTCCACCTTGTCTCTTTCTCTCTACTTGTCTCACTATATTTCCTTCTCTCTCTCCCTTTCTTTCTCTCTCTCGCTCCCTCTCACTCTGTCTCCTTCCATCTTGGTCTCCGTAGATACCCAGTGCCCACCCCTCCCAACCGAATACCCCCTCTTCTGTCCTCCCCACATACCGTACCTCCATCACCACCCTCATTGACTACTGCATTACAAACCATTATACAACGTTTGACTCCAGCCAGTGCTCCCCTTCCATCCCCCTCCACCCCACCCCATCCCCAGCCCTCTCTCTCTCTCTCCAGCTTGTCCTCGGGGTCGGGGGCCCCTACGACGCCCAGGCCATCCCGGCGGCCTCCATTGTGCAGTGATTTGTGTGTGTAATCTTTGGGGGATATCCGTGAATGCTATGCTGAGTGGCTGAAAGAATTTATTAGCTCACTCGCAGTTCATAGAGAACACAAAAGTGCAGAGTCCTTCAGTCCTTTTTCTCTCCCAACCCCCCCACCCCCCCGCGCCATGCAAAATTTGAGGATAGAGAGGGAGGGGGGAAGAGAGAGAGAGAGAGAAAGAGAAAGAAAACCTAAACAAGGACGGAGCTGCCAGCTCCCAGTGTCTTGGCAACATGTTTAGAAACCATCTAAATTGCTTGTGTAATACGTAAACCTTTGTCTCACCCCGGAGGCAGCTACATCAGTCACAACTCTGGTGGTCCTCCCATCATAGTTAGCTGTAATAAGCAGCTATAGCGTTTCAGTCCCTAGGCAATGCAATCAGGTCTTTGTGTTTCTCTCTCTCTCTCTCTCTCTCTCTCTCTCTCTCTCTCTCTTTTAACAAAAGAATGAACAGAATGCCAGGCTTAGGTGTTAACAATGTTTAAAACGTGCCCCCTTACATTTTTGGCCTTATGTTGTTGTCCCCCCCTCTCCAAAACAGCTCAAGCCCCATTCCTCCCTCAATAACAGAAACATTGATGCTAGCTGGCGTGGATGCAAAACAAATCACACTCAAAACCCCCTAGAACGGCTACCTCACTGAAGGAGGCGAACCAGCAGCAGCATCAACCTCAGCCAGAATCAATGCCGATCTGCCTGCGTCAACCTCTTGGAATTCCCTCTCAAAATATTTAAAAGGAATTTAGGCAAAGAGAGCGAGGAGGTCTGGCCTTTGCATTAGGGCTACAGTTTGGAGGCATTAGGAGAGGTGTAGTCCCGGGTCACAGGCCAAGCAACACAGATCATAAATTGGTTAAAGTGTACTGGATCCCCCAGAAACTGTTTGGACGGCGAAGGGCAGAACCCAGTCAAACACAGCAGCGCCACGGGACACATGTTAACGCCAGAACAGATGACTGCTTCCAATGGAATGTGATGGAAGTGTCCGTGTCGTCAGCCCTTTTAAGTACGAGCTAGGCCTACAATGATCAGACACTGGGGTCCTTTCAATGCCTCTGTAAAGCATAAAAAATGTGAACGTTGACGAATAAATAAGAGTTCCTCTCTGCAACAATTTATGAGAAATACTCAATGTAAATTCTGTGTTGCTCAAAATAACAGGAGTTATGTTGGGGTTGGTAGTGGGTGCAATAAGCTGCACATTGATAGAAGTGAGTGAGAGATGATTCCAGTTTGCCACAGACTATTTGGAAGAAGCCATTCCCTTTCCCGTCCCTCACCTTAAAATGATTGACCCATACAGTGAGGGAAAAAGGTATTTGATCCCCTGCTGATTTTGTCCGTTTTCCCACTGACAAAGAAATGATCAGTCTATAATTTTAATGGTAGGTTTATTTGAACAGTGAGAGACAGAATAACAACAACAAAAATCCAGAAAAACGCATGTCAAAAATGTTATAGTTATAAGTATTTGACCCTCTCTCAATCAGAAAGATTTCTGTCTTCCAGGTGTCTTTTATACAGGTAACGAGCTGAGATTAGGAGCACACTCTTAAAGGGAGTGCTCCTAATCTCAGTTTGTTACCTGTATAAAAGACACCTGGAAGCCAGAAGCAATCAATCAATCAGATTCCAAACTCTCCACCATGGCCAAGACCAAAGAGCTCTCCAAGGATGTCAGGGACAAGATTGTTGACCTACACAAGGCTGGAAAGAGCTACAAGACCATCGCCAAGCAGCTTGGTGAGAAGGTGACAACAGTTGGTACGATTATTCGCAAATGGAAGAAACACAAAAGACCTGTCAATCTCCCTCGGCCTGGGGCTCCATGCAAGATCTCACCTCGTGGAGTTGCAATGATCATGAGAATGGTGAGGAATCAGCCCAGAACTACACAGGAGGATCTTGTCAATGATCTCAAGGCAGATGGGACCATAGTCACCAAGAAAACAATTGGTAACACACTACGCCGTGAAGGACTGAAGTCCTGCAGCGCCTGCAAGGTCCCCCTGCTCAAGAAAGCACATATACTGTACATGCCCATCTGAAGTTTGCCAATGAACATCTGAATGATTCAGAGGAGAACTGGGTGAAAGTGTTGTGGTCAGATGAGACCAAAATGGAGCTCTTTGGCATCAACTCAACTCGCCGTGTTTGGAGGAGGAGGAATGCTGCCTATGACCCCAAGAACACCATCCCCACCGTCAAACATGGAGGTGGAAACATTATGCTTTGGGGGTGTTTTTCTGCTAAGGGGACAGGACAACTTCACTGCATCAAAGGGACGATGGACGGGGCCATGTACCGTCAAATCTTGGGTGAGAACCTCCTTCCCTCAGCCAGGGCATTGAAAATGGGTCGTGGATGGGTATTCCAGCATGACAATGACCCAAAACACACGGCCAAGGCAACAAAGGAGTGGCTCAAGAAGAAGCACATTAAGGTCCTGGAGTGGCCTAGCCAGTCGAAACCTTAATGACTTGGAGAAGTTCTGCAAAGAGGAGTGGGACAAAATCCCTCCTGAGATGTGTGCAAACCTGGTGGCCAACTACAATAAACGTCTGACCTCTGTGATTGCTAACAAGGGTTTTGCCACCAAGTACTAAGTCATGTTTTGCAGAGGGGTCAAATACTTATTTCCCTCATTAAAATGCAAATCAATTTATAACTTTTTTGACATGCGTTTTTCTGGATTTTTTTGTTGTTATTCTGTCTCTCACTGTTCAAATAAATCTACCATTAAAATTATAGACTGATAATTTCTTTGTCAGTGGGCAAACGTACAAAATCAGCAGGGGATCAAATACTTTTTTCCCTCACTGTATGTCAGATTTGGAAAGCAGTGACCCGAATTCCCCACATAAACACTGGGAAGAATTCCGAAAGGAAGGAGCCGTATGATCCTGAGCTAAAAGACCACTAAGACACAGCAGCGGTAAATGGGCTGAAATATTAGCTCTCTCGCTAATGACTGCTCATCAGGACCAAAAGGCATATGGATGGCAGCAACGCTAACACCAGGCCATAAGAAACAAACACTTGGAAACTAGGGGTGGGTCCCAAATGGCACCCTATTCCCTATACAGTGCACTACTTTTGACCAGAGCCATATAGTGAATAGGGTACCATTTGGGACACAACCCAATCTCAACTCCTGATTAAGAGAAGAGAAAAAATACCAACCTGGCCCTTCGCACATGGATCGCTATCATAATACTGCCAAAGATACAGCAGAGATATTGTTGACAACCTAAGTAGGTAGCTCTGCTCCAATTTATAGACAAAAGAGCTCATTAGAAGTGTTTGTGTGTAGAGTATTAGTTCCAGTTAAAATATAAACAGAGTGAAGTGTCAGTGTCTTCTAGCTCTACTGTGTGGGGTTGTTCAGTCAGAGGAGAGGTACTGGGTGTACTGCTTTGGAGGCTGGTGGGAGGAGCTATAGGAGGACGGGCTCATTGTAATGGCTTGAATGGAATAAATGGAACAGAGTCAAACGTGGTTTCTATATGTTTGATGTGTTTGATACCGTTCCATTAATTCCATTCTAGCTATGACAATGAGCCCGTCCTCTTATAGCTCCTCCCACCAGCCTCCACTGGTGTACTGGTCTCCTTTACTATTTCCAGAAGCCCTTGGTCCTCTGACCACCCCCCTTTGTGGTCACGGGAGAACAAAGCCTCGTAGCGGGGGAAACAATGGCCACCGATGATGTCATTCTGACACCTCAGTCAGGCGCTCCACAAATCACTTCAACATGTCGACTTGAAAATTAGCTTCCCTCCTTTTCTCCTCAAACCGCTCTCCTCCTTCTCCCTCCTTTTTTACGACCACCATCATTCTTCCTCCCAAGGGGCTGTGTCTGTCTGTCTGTCTGTCTGTTGATGCTCCACTAACACCTGCCTCCAGATTCACAAGTGTAGGGCAGACTTTATTCTTCTGTTTTTAGCCATAGTAAGAGCACTGTTTTTTTGGTGTCAAGAGCCAGGCGAAGCAGAGTTGGAGTTCTCACCAGAACATCAGCAGCATTCCATAGAGCTGAGGAACGGGAGCCGGAGCAGGGAGCAGAGCATAGTGAGTGGCTACCGTTTCCAATCCCGCCATGCAGCTGCCTTTCAGGTCCATGATGCATGGTTTGGCTCCCTGCATTGTTAGCCCAGCGCCTTTTGATCCTCATTGGCTCTGGCAATCCCGACAAAAATACATTCCACCACGAGGAGAGCTGATTGGAGAAAAACAATGCAGCCCCCTTCACCTCAAAGGCAATCTGAAATGTTCACACTCATTCAGCCCCCCACCTCCCCCTGGTTACTCCAGCACAATGAAACCAGGGAGCCAAGTCAAATCCCCCCCTCCACCTGTTAACACACATTAATCCTATGACAAGGTCGGAGCTTAGACCAGAGATCACTCAGTCTCATAACGAAGGGAGAGAGGAGAAAAAACTAAAGAGACCCAACCACCCAGCCCAATCAGATTGGATGCAAAACCACTTTTATAATGGAGGAGGCAGCCAGGCAATTTCCTGTATCACACAACACGTCGGCCAACAGAGTCATGTTTTGGGTCTACGACCCCATCTTGATAAACAACGACTTTCACTCAACTTTCTCTTGACGTATTCCAGCGTATGCTCCTCTTCCCATTACATAAATAGGATAATAGTAAGATTAACATTGCTGCCCCCCCCCCCCCTTCAGCTTCAGAGCTTCAGTTCTCAGAGGGAGTCAACAGTAGGAGTAAGAGCTAATTTGTCATCCGCAGGGCACTTATCTCTGACAGTCTGAGAGGAACCACTGCTCTCTCTGGCTGAGTTAGCCAGACAGTCTGAGAGGAACCACTGCTCTCTCTGGCTGAGTTAGCCGAACAGTCTGAGAGGAACCTCTGCTCTCTCTGGCTGAGTTAGCCCAACAGTCTGAGAGGAACCTCTGCTCTCTCTGGCTGAGTTAGCCCGACAGTCTGAGAGCAACCTCTGCTCTCTCTGGCTGAGTTAGCCCGACAGTCTGAGAGGAACCTCTGCTCTCTCTGGCTGAGTTAGCCCAACAGTCTGAGAGGAACCTCTGCTCTCTCTGGCTGAGTTAGCCCGACAGTCTGAGAGCAACCTCTGCTCTCTCTGGCTGAGTTAGCCCAACAGTCTGAGAGGAACCTCTGCTCTCTCTGGCTGAGTTAGCCCGACAGTCTGAGAGGAACCTCTGCTCTCTCTGGCTGAGTTAGCCCAACAGTCTGAGAGGAACCTCTGCTCTCTCTGGCTGAGTTAGCCCGACAGTCTGAGAGCAACCTCTGCTCTCTCTGGCTGAGTTAGCCCAACAGTCTGAGAGGAACCTCTGCTCTCTCTGGCTGAGTTAGCCCACAGTCTGAGAGGAACCTCTGCTCTCTCTGGCTGAGTTAGCCTAACAGTCTGAGAGCAACCTCTGCTCTCTCTGGCTGAGTTAGCCCAACAGTCTGAGAGGAACCACTGCTCTCTCTGGCTGAGTTAGCCCAAGTCTGAGAGCAACCTCTGCTCTCTCTGGCTGAGTTAGCCCAACATCTGAGGAACCTCTGCTCTCTCTGGCTGAGTTAGCCCAACAGTCTGAGAGGAACCTCTGCTCTCTCTGGCTGAGTTAGCCGAACAGTCTGAGAGGAACCTCTGCTCTCTCTGGCTGAGTTAGCCCAACAGTCTGAGACCAACCTCTGCTCTCTCTGGCTGAGTTAGCCGAACAGTCTGAGAGGAACCTCTGCTCTCTCTGGCTGAGTTAGCCCAACAGCTGTAGATGCAGTGTGACAGAGCACAATAACACGCAGTGAGATATTTGTCTCACAGTGAATATATTTTATTGTGCGGCCTAGCCCTGTCACACAGGCTAACACACTTCAATAGCAGTGTTAGGCGACACTGCTCAAAGCAGATGTCTTCATTCCAAACTGCTTTCGCCCCATTGCCTTTGCCGCTGGCTGATGTAAGCAACCAACAATGGCGTCGCTCCATTTGCACATACGCAATGTGTCACCATGAATGAAATCAAAGCCAGCATATTGTCAGCCACCGCTGGATACAAGGAGATTAAGTATGGATGTTGGGCTACATTCTCTCTCGTTCTGCAGCATCTGGAAGTGGTTCCCGCTTGAAACAGAAAACCCAAAACAAGTTAACTGCCTGAGCACCTCAGTTAACGCGCTGCGATGGCTTTATAGTCAGCATGACACTATCAGATGTTGGTACTGAGCTGAGACGTGCTGAACACGCCGTGTGACGAGTTGTAAAGAAACCAGCGCCCAGATCAGGACTGTGCCACACGGTTTACCACTGTGCCCGCCGAGCCGCTGAGCCGCCTTCACCACATATGAGCCACAGCCTGGCAGTGGTGGCGCAAGCCTCTTTTTAATCACAAAGCAGCCGGGAAACATAATCAGCCAATCAGTCGTTAGAGATGAGAGTATCTGACCCAATGGGCTTGTAGGATGGTGATTGTGACACCTCCGGGACGGATGAACAGAAACAATGTCAAACAGGGTAAGTGGGGTGAGCGAGAGAGGACTGTGTGGAAGAAGGGGTGGCAGGGAATGTCGGAATTAGCAGGCTTCCTACCGGGAAGTGGACGCCAGCAAGTGCGTTACACACACACAACCAAGTAATGACAGGAAGAGAAGGGGAGATTGGGTGTCAGGGAACACCCACGGTGCAATAGAGAGAGGAGAAGGAGAGCCTCCCTTGCTCCCTCCCTCTGGCAGCATTGTGTCTGAGCGGGTCGTCTTAATTGTCACCGGGGGGGGGGGGGGGGATCGGCCGGGCCGGCAGAAGGAACCACAGAACATTACAATCAAAGCATGTGGCAGCTAGGGGAGCCAGGCAAAGATAAAACCCTTATCTTCCCCTCTCAGTGAGTCTCACTCCAGCCCCCCCCCCCCCCCCCCTCCCCTGAGGCTCCTGGGTGTTCTATCTGTATAGAAGGAGCTATGTCCTGTTGATGCAGCGAGTAAACACCTCAGCCCCCCCTGGTAGCCCCCCCTGGTCCCCTGGTGCTGGGGGCCCCGTGTGGCCAGAGCCTTGTAGCAGCCAACAGCCAACATCACAGAATAGGACTCTAGGGGGGCCTGCAGGCCAGTCTGCCGGGGCTCAAGCCACTCTCTAATTGTCATAATGATTGTTTTATCCGCTAGCAGTTAGGTTTAATGATGATAAGACAGCAGGAGGGTCGTCCTGGGCTCCCTGTGGGCCTGTTTGCATGTCCATTCGCTGGGGGTCCGCTTCCCTCCCTGTAATCTCTGCTGTCCTCTTTCTAAAGGAACGGCGGGAGGCATGCGTGATAGATAAACTTCCTGTCCAAAAAGTGTGCCCCCTCCTCCTCCTCTTCCCCATTTCCCTATCTCTGGACACTATCAGTTCACTTTCAAATAAATAAACTACAGCTATTGCCTTGGATACGGATAAACATCATCAGGGGCCGTATGTATTAAGAGTTGCCTTTTAGCTCACAATGAATTTGATTACATGGACATGAGGGAAGATGATCCTAGATCAGCACTCCTACTCTGAGACACTTGATACATACAGCTCTAGATGAGCTCTGTGAGCAGGGCTGGGGTCAATTCCATTTAAAATCCAGTCAATTCAGAAAAGAAAAAACACATTCCAATTCCATTTCCAAATGTTCTTAATTGAAAGCATGGAAGAGAATTGGAATTTCAGTGTACTTCCTGAATTGCCTAGAACTGAAATGGAATTGACCCCAAACCTATCTGTGACACATAGCTAACCGTCAGTGGCAGAAGTGGATGTCTCCATGTAAAGTTGTGTGGTAAATGCTGGTAAGAGCTACGATAGCTTTAACAGGTCCTAGCAGGTGAGAAATTGAAACTGAACCTGAAATGACATGGTAAATTATAGGCCATTTCAAAAGCTTAACAATCCTTCACAGCTATAAAGATGATGTTTCCAACTACTGGTCCTGGACCTGACGCTGCATGTCTATGGCACAGACACACTACTGAGGTTAAAAATGATGCCTACATGTAACACCGCTCCACTACGCCAATCCCCTCCCGGGCTTCCAAGACGACGTCGATGAAAAAAAGACAACTTCCTATTCAACTGTTGCCCAGAGGCTCTGCCAACACAAAGCTACGGAGGAGTGGGCGGGCGGTGATGATTGTATTTCTTGTTGATTGGCTCTCGTGGATGTGCTGCTCCTCTCCTCTCTTTCTCCTCTTCTCTCTTTCTCCTCTCCTCTCTTTCTCCTCTTCTCTCTCTCTCTCTTCTCTCTCCCTCTTTCTCCGCCAAACGCAGTATAACATATCTTTCCGGGGGGAGGCCAGCCAACCGAGCCCCAGCTCCAGGGCCCTCTCTCCTCTTCTCCTCTCCTCCCCTGTTCTCTGGAAGTTAGGACTTCCATGATGGTGGGAGGTCAGAACAAACCAGACTGAGTGAGTGAGTAAATGTCAGATAGGTGCTAATTCTTTTCAGAAGTACCAGACATGCCAATGGTTTCCTGTCTCAAGGAAACTGCAGCGGAGAGGGACGGGTGACGAGTACTTCTCCTGTGTGTGTGTGTGTGTGTGGTGTGTGTGTGTGTGTGTGTGTGTGTGTGTGTGTGTGTGTGTGCACTGTGAACACAGTTCATCTCCTCAGACCCCTCGTTATTAGAATGGTCTCGACAGACACCAGATGTTTCTTTAGCGACTGAGGGCGGAGAGAGCGAGAGAGAGAGAGAGAGAGAGAGAGAGAGAGAGAGAGAGAGAGAGAGAGAGAGAGAGAGAGAGAGAGAGAGAGAGAGAGAGAGAGAGAGAGAGAGAGAGAGAGAGAGAGAGAGAGAGAGAGAGAGAGAGTGTGCAGACAGGGTTGACCACTAAAAGACAGATACAGCTGGTCTTCCACTATTGTGAGAGGGGCTATTGCTGTGTGAAATCATATCATACGACACCATTTATCAAAATAAAGTATTGGCCAGTGACGTCTTAGTCTAATAGTTTTTCATCTTGTGGGATTGTACAGTGCTAACCTATATGGAAACAGCTTGGTGGGGGAGAGTACAGGGTAACACTTAAAAAGCCATTCATCCACCTTGTATGAATTAGCAGCACATTAGCAATGTTTTCAACGTGTGTGCTAAGCTCATTGAAAGATAACAACGTGTGAGTTAGCCGCGTTAGGGCAATTAATAAATAGCTGATGGTTTTGTTTAATTGTTTAATGAAGTGTTAGACTGGCGAGCACACCACTTTTAGTGGGGGTTAAAGTCTGGAAGGAAGGGTCTTGGTTGGTCAGAATGATCAGACAAGAGAGGTAGGTCTTAGAAGTAGAACTGTTTGAGGAGTGTTCAAATCTGTGTTCCACTCTCTCTCCCTCTCCCCTATGTTTGTAACACAGAAATAAAACCACTTAAGTGTTGCTGTCCCTCTGTGTCTGCTCCCTACATTGATAGTTAACCGTTTTGGTGTTAAAACTGGTGTTAAGGTGCATTTATATTCGGGAGACACGGCGCGACTAAGTACCATCGCTTATATGTGAATTAGAGTTTGGAGCAGTCTTGAAGTGCCCCTATGGGTCCTGGTCAAAAGTAGTGCACTATGTAGGGAATAGGGTGTCATTTGGGATGCATCTTGTGTTCCTCACTGACCTTGAGTCCAGTCTGCACCAGCTTGTGGATGTCAAGGAAAGGCTCTTTCAGCAGTTCCATGTTATGGGTCAGCACCCGAACGAAGCCCTCCTTCTCCAGGACAAAGAGGCGCTGGGATCCGTCCCCACAGTGCACCACGGCCACTGGCTGCCTCAGCCCACTCAACACCTCCTGGGCACAGTAGCAGTTGTGCTTGTGCTTCCTGGGCGACCAGAGGAGGAACAAAAGGTCAAGGGTCGCCGACGGATAATCCCGTTGAAAGAGGAAAGGAAGGAGGGAGAGAGAGAGAGAGAGAAATACACCCCACAACATACATACACTGATTGAGTTGACTTGACAGTAAGTTAATACCAGTGATTTACAAAGTAAGAGTGAAGCAATAGCATGACACTAGGGGAAGGGTTGAGTAAGTGTTTAGACACTTCCATAGGCAGTGAGTTTGATTCATGTGCATTGGGCATACATACATACATATGTCACTCCACGGGTGAATTTAGTGGAGCAATGCTTAAATGGGGGATGAGGGGTCTCCAGCTGTGCAACAAGTGTTGCGTAAACCACAGTTCACATTTGATGTGGGAAACAGAACATTCAAACTCCATTATACAACATCGCAACAGCTAGCTAACACATGAGGGCGGTGACGCTGATTTTCGCTCCTCACACACTTGTTTCAAGACATTCCCAATCGCCGGGCAGAATTTACCATTGAGAGTCTGAGGGAGGGATGGACATTCATTGGAGGAAAAAGGGTGTCAGTTCAGTTATCTCGCCCTGTCAGTTTCCTGTCTGGTGCTATGATGTCATGGTGACGCATTTGTCAAGTTCATACACACAGCAGATGTGCTACCTCTCTCTCTCTCTGCCTCTCTCTCTCTCTCTCTCTCTCTCTCGCTCCCTGGCTCTCTCTCTCTCTGCCTCTCTTTCTTGCTCCCTGGCTCTCTCGCTCTCTGCCTCTCTCTCGCTCCCTGGCTTTCTCTCTCTCTGCCTCTCTCTCTCACTCCCTGGCTCTCTCTCTCTCTCGCTGCCTCTATCTCGCTCCCTGGCTCTCTCTCTCTGCCTCTCTCTCTCGCCCTCAGGCCAGTTTTGAAGTGGGAGGTCTGATTAAGACTTATGATGTTAGATGACATGGGTGGTTAAAACCTGGCCCTCTCTCCTTGCTCATCATCTCTTGGCCGGCCCCAGGCAGAAGATGAGGAGGGGAGAGTCAGCTCACCAAGACTCCCTTTAGATGAGCGGCTGCCAACAGAAGCTCTATATCTCTCCTCGGCCATCCCGGTCATCCATTCTAGAGAGCAGTGCAATTACAATTACAATTACAGTGCTCTTTAGCATAGCAAGGGGTCATTACTAGAAACGACTAGAGTAGTACCCCATCAACCCCAGGAATGCAGACAGCACTTAGCTAGACCTCATAGACAGACAGCATCAGCATAGTTTCTCTGGTCTGGTCCGGTCTATTCTGGTCTGGTCCGGCTCGAGAGAGCAGGACGGTCAGTCGGTCACTTGTCCAGCAGTAGTGTTCTCACCTCGCATCAGGGGGGCTTGATGGCACCCTATTCCCTATATGGTGTACTGCTTTTCACCAGGGCCCATAGGACTCTGGTCAAAAGCAGTGCACTACGTAGGGAATAGGGTGCCATTTGTGACGCAGCTGGGGAGCTCAGAGGCTCTCTCTCCACCGGAGCAGACAAAAGGTGAAAGTTTGTCTATGACGTACAGCCGCTAGCTAGCAGTGAGGGAGGAATGGCCTGCAGCCCTGAACTGACGCAGGGTAAGCATTTCCATTGTGTGGCCAAAGCCTGGCTCAATGCACCCTGAACAAACGGCAGGCTTTGGTGATGACTGGGGAGATGGGTGATGGGTAAAGAGGGTGGGTGGGGCGGGGGGGGGGGGGGGGTCATCCAGGCGTGGCATTGGCATGTCTCCCATGACCCTGGTTCATAGTACATATCGCCTGGGGTGAGACCGGTGGTGGTGGCCAGTCAAAGTGGCACACTGGGTTCAGAGTGTGGAGGTGCCACAATACACACTAAGGCCTCTCTTCCTCAACTCACTGAAAGCCTCCTTTTTGGATGGTTCACTCAATATTTAAAAAGCGTACCTTAAATGTACTCTTCCTAAGGTATACAAGTAAAAGAGATTTTGAAAGTGAAACGTTACAAACCTGTTGATGTCTTCCACTTTCTCATCTCCCAAGTAGTTGGAGTCCTGGCCCCGTGTTTGCTTTCGGTGGAAATCTGGGAAGCACAGGCCTCCGTCCCTCCTTCCGTAGTATTGACAGAACTCATCCACATCGGCTTGGAACAGCTCTGAAAAACACCATGGAAACAAACAACGGCCCTCAGACAAAGACGATTCTAGTCAAGTGACATCACACCTCATTCAAACCATGATGCAACATCATCATCAAACTTACCAGCGAGCTAAAGCTAAATCCACTCGTAGTTAGTTGCCCTTAATTCATGTTTACACAGCTTTAGTTCCTTAAGTCTTCAGACGGTTGTTTGTGAGAGTTGTGCT